AGAAGAAGAAGAAGAAGAAGAAGAAGAAAAAAATCGAGGGAAAAACCGAGATGAAGAAACCGAAACGAGAGTGCTTGCGAGAAAGAAGTTGGAAAACCGTGTTACGACAGCCTGAAAGCGGCTCTAGTTATCGGCTGTAGATTCGCCCAAAGTAAAGAAAGACTTGAAGAAGAAAGTGCACCGGTTTGTTTCTTACAATTAGTAATCTCGGGCGCGTTTCGAAGAAGATTCGCTGTTAATGGAGAAAAATAACGGATACTATACTATACTATATATATATATATATGACAGTCTCTATCTATGAAACGCCCAAGGGACGCAATTCAGTTAATTCTGAAAAGGATCTAAAGGATCTCGATGGAAAGCCAAATTGACCTAATAATAATAAAACTTTGACGACAGATTAATTTTGATTAATTTTGATATACGATGACGTCATGCTTCCTAAGCTAAAATCGACAATGACGAGACGTTCGCGAGGTTAATACGTATATAAGAGTACAAAAAGATATGTTTCTAGATGCTTATATTCTACATTCCAAGTTATACCGACTTCAATGAAAAAACAAATATCATCTTTCAAATTCGATCGTATGGAATTTCACTTACATAATTCGTAAGGGATTAAGTGCTGAAAAGAAGATCTTGAAATATTCAACAACGTTCCTGTTCCGAAATTTTACAAACGTTTGCAAGCGCGAAGAGGGACACAATGTTCTCTAAAAGTTCGCACATGCTTTTCAACTTTCAAGTCTCGGGAACTAATTCAGAAACATGAATTGCAACGCGTTTCTCAAGTAATACGTTTCTAACACGCGGAATACTGAGCTGTTAATGTAACGAAGCGTCGCCCAGACGTTCTAAACTGTTAAAGGATCAAACAGCAATTAATCGAGCCGAAACATAGAAAAGTTTTAAGCGACGAAGAAAATACACCCTGACTCTCGAATTAATTATTCAAACCCTCCGTTAAAAACTTGAAAACCTGTCAGATCTAAACAGACGGAGAAAGGAAAGATCTCGGTCGATAGGGAAGTAAAAATGTCCCGAAGAATTTCGAAATACGCTTGCACGCGTATTGTCAGGAGCCAGAAGCGACGAGTTGAGTGGAACTTTGCAAGCGGCTTCTGAACGCGGAGCGAGATCGGCCGACAAAGAACATGGCTTCCGGAACTCGAAGCACGACTCCGCTTCGTGTCGATGGGACGCACACGCGGGTCGTCGAATCCCGGTGCCAACGGGTGAACGATGGGGATAATTTGCCGCGAACCTTTCCAGTGCATCGATTACGGAATTCGCCAAGTTTTGCCTCGGCGCAGAGGCGAACTCTCGCCCAATCTACTGGCAGACACTGACAGCGATCCTGCGACGTGGTTATTAACCCCCTTGCGCACCTTCCTCCGCTGTATTTACCCAGCGATCGAACACGTGGAGCGAAAGTGTGTACCGAAGACTCGAAGACCGACTGCAAGTACCGGCGAGAGGAATTTCACGTTTCTCGTGAAGAATCTCACTCGCGTGCGTGTCTTTCTAACGACAAACGTTCGGTTCTTTGGCCAAAAAAAAAAGAAAACTCTTCGTGCATGATTTAGAATTTAGAAATTTCTCTACAAAACATTGGATTCTTGCTCCGCAGAAGGCACGCTGTAATTAAACACAATTGAAAAGCAAGACTGACAATGAGTCTGCGCGTGAGCAAGAGGCAAAAACGTATCTGATTTCCTGCGATTTTGTTACACGATAGACGAGGGAATAAATAAATAGATATTTTTGTTATTTTATCGCGAAGACTATCCACTGCGACCTTAATTACAATTATAATTAATTGCATATCAAATGAGAGACTCGGTACGAGATCACTTCCTGAAATAAATCCATCAAGAGTAATTCTTTTTTTATCATCCAGCTCGAACCTAATAGTTCGAATGTGTTCGTTAAAAAAAAATATATATATAAGCGGGAAGAAACATTCCGGCCAATCCTGGAATGGAACACGTGGAATACACTTTTAATAGACATTACAAACTAATGAAAACACGTGAAACGTCACGATTCCACGCTCATTCTTTCATTTTATATCCTCAGCTTCCACTTCGCGTGTTTGCATTTCATATTTTCCCGCCATTCAATTTCACGTTTTACTCGGCGATGAAATCCCGTTTGCTGGCGAAGGATTAAGGTCGAAAGGGCGGAATGCGCCCGGCTATATCGACCCATAACTATCCACCAAGATCCACCAAGCCATCAAGAGTTAGAGGAACTCGTTACGCGGATCGCGAGCGTTCGCCTGTCGCCTTTCATTGAGAACGAACGCGACCGGAGGCGAGGTTATCGGGATCGAACGTAATTCACGATGACGCTGGCACGAATATCGCATTAAGAACGTCGCCGTCTAGGCTCGCTAACTGGTCACTAGGCCAGGCGAAATAAATGCTTCTTGCTTTTCGCTTTCTCTCGACTGCGTTCAGGCTGATTCAAACTAAATGTATTAAACTGACTAACACTTTATATATACCTGCTTCCTACACATCAGTCTAACGATC